CTCATGCTTGTGTATAACTCACATACTTCCTGGCTAATTCAAATACTATGCACCAACTACTGTGGTCTCTAAGATTCTACCACAGACACACAGGTTGAAAAGCTGGTATGAGTCCACACTCTGACAGCGTGATACTTATATACAACCAACTGGAAGTGGGATGGTCATAGGATGCCTGATTCACTCACATATAAGATGTGAAACACAAACTATCTTTATAGGCTGGTTTTTGTGCAATCACTGAGTTAACACTGAATAACATTTAGATTATCTTCATGCTATCTTGGCATATTATATAAGACTTGACTGTATGAATGAAAATTTAGAATCTTTATTCCATCGTTTAGCTGATTGGCTTATTCATTTAACAAATCTTTATTGAGCACTCTTTTAGGTGCTAGAGATACAGTGATAAAAAGGACTGATAGAGACTTCCTTTGGTGTTATGAAGCCTGTCTTCTGAAGAGACTTTTTTTTAACTTTATTTATTTTGAGAGAGAGAGGGAGAGAGAGGGAGGGAGGGAGTGCATGAGTGGAGCCCGGGCAGAGGGAGAGACAGACAGAGAGAGAGGGAGAGAAAGAATCTCGAGCAGGCTCTGTGCTGTCAGTGCAGAGCCGCCATGGGGCTCAATCTCACAAACCCTGAGATCAGGATCTGAGCCAAAATCAAGAGCCAGTCACTTAACCAACTGAGGCACCTAGGTACCCCTAAAGAGCCTTGTTTTATACAAAGGCTGGATGACTGGCTGATATGGTGACTCCATGCATATCCACTTGAAGGTGTATGTGTGTGGCTTAACCAGGAAAATTATCCAGCATTCTACACTTACAACTATTTCCCTTATATTTTTAAGTTCTTCCCCCTGACACTTATTATATGTTCAGGTGTTTCCAAAGAGCTCCAACTAACAGAACCAAATCCTGTGGGAAAAACAAATCAACTGCATATTTTCAGACTTCCTTTTACTCCCCTCTTCTGCTTTTGGAACAGCTAATCATTTCCACTTTGAAAAATGTCTTCACTGAGCCTCCATGATCTTACTTTCTCTTGGTTCCATTCCTACCAACAGACTTCTTCAGACTTTTAATTGTTGCTTTTTTCTTATGTGCCTCATCTCCAAATATGGTAATCACTGAATTCTCAGTCTCAGGACTTTTTCATTTCTATCTAACTCCTTTCCTGTTGTGATCATTTAGCACCACATCTTCATTATCACCTGCTTGTTGAGGTTTCCACAGAAATATCTATCCTGGACCTACTTCCAAATCTATTTGGATGTCTATGAGCATCTTAAACTTAAAAAAAGACTAAAACTCCATTCCAGGGCAAGCATTCTGCTTTCTTTTTCTCTCTTTCCATAATCTTCCTGATATAAATGCACAGCTTGCTCTCTGTCTTCAGATCGCTAAATAAATGTCACCTCCAGGAGGCCTTCCCAGATTACCCTATATAAAATAAGATCATCCCCACTCTCTCATTCCTAGTTTTTACTCTTTATCCTTCTTACCTGGGTTTACATTTCTACAAAACACTTATTACCAACTGACATGTTATAAATGTATTTGCTAAAATGTATTTATACGTGTTTTTACCTAGGGACGCCTGGGTGGCTCAGTCGGTTTAGTGTCTGACTCTTGATTTTGGCTCAGGTCATGATCCCCGGATCATGGGATCAAGCCCCACGTCGGGCTCTGCGCTAAGTGTGGAGCTGTTTGGCATTCTCTCTCTCTCTCTCTCTCTCTCTCTCTCTCCCCCTCTGCCCCTCTCCCCTGCTAGTGCTCTCTCTCTCTCTCTCTCTCCAAAATAAGAAATAATTTTAAACTTTTTGCCTGTTTTTTGCACCAAAAATGTAAGCTCCATGAGAGGTGAGGTCTTCCTCATTTCCTGTTCTATTATTAGTGTACAGAAATGTGCTTGAAAAAGAGTTGGAATTCAATATTTATCAAATTAGTAACTGAATTTGTAAATACATTCTTCAATGGCACTATTTATCTGGTTACTACACTTTGCACTAATTTGGAATTGAAATGATGATTTTCAATAGTTGTATCAGAAAAGTATTTTAGAGTCCCAGAAGTCCATTCCCTTAGCTCTAAGACTTGGAAAGATAACATAGTCCAAATTCTTGTTCTATACAGTGTATCTTAAAGAGAAAAAAGTTTTGACTACGTCTACGTGATGAATAAGAGGTGGAACCATTGTTAAACACTGGGTCCACGCCCCTCCAGTCAGTCAGTGTTCTCCAATCAAACCCTGAATCAGAGGTATTGCTTTTCCTTGGCTACCACAGCAATCCAATTCTTTTTGGTGTTATTTTGAAAATAATTTTAATAGATATTACACAGAGGTGGAAGCAAGGAAAAAACTGATTTTATAAATAAAAGCGTCACACATATAAAGCTTGAATATATAAAAAGGAAAACATTTCTGAATACCTAAATCTAAAACTCAATTTAACTTGAAAAATGCCCAGCTTAAAACAAAGCAACATCCTAGGACATTGAGAAACATAGATTTAAAATCCTATAACAAACACTTATATTTTCAGAGATGGAAAAAAATCCATGCAGGTAGGTTAGTGAGAAATAACATATAAATAGAGCAAAAAGCTTAGAAAAATAAAAAAAAGCAATCAAGATATTTCTTAATCCTGATGACACAGGCACAGTAGCAGAAGAAATGAATTGAGTCCAAACACAGGATATGATCTATGATTTTAACCCATAAAGAAGTTTGAGTTCCCCAAGAGGCAATAAAACATAGCAGTTAAAATGTACTCCATTGCTTGGATTTGCACCTAACACTCTTTCTTGATAGGTATAAGAACTTAATTGTTAATACTTAACTTCTACGGGCCTTAAATTGTTGATCTGTAAAATAGAATTGAATAATAACTATACTTTTTATGGGAATCAAATTAGATCATAAATATAAATGATTTATGCACTATGTGGCAGATATTTTATAGTTGGAAATATTGTACAATGATATTAGGAAAATTTAACCAACTACAATATAAAATAAATTCTAAAAGCTTTTAAAGATAATGTTTGTGAAAATAATGTAAAATTTACCAAAATCATGCTTGTGGTTGATCATTTGCAGTGTCTAACACTTGGGGTACTTTATAAAACATGAAAGTCTTCCATTTATCAGCTCTATCAATTCTCTCTACCACATGAATTGAAACTTCCTCCCAAGTATTTCTACAATGGTAACCATGAACAGCCTAGTTTGTTTTCCAAAACAATGCCAATTTCAGCAGATGAAAATGTACCTGCCTGAAAACATTCATTTTGCCATAAAGATTTAAGAAAGACTATAACCCACTTTTTTGATTGTCTAAAGGTCCTGAATGAGCATAGAGTGAACAAGAAGGTTGGTAGATGACATCAGGGAGGTATCAAGGACAGACTGTACAAAGCCAAGCTCCTACTGTTGCAGTGATCACACCTGACGCTAAGTTCCAAGGAGTCATAGCTGTGCTACATGTAAACCCTTGGGAACAAGTCACAATTACACACCTACACCAGCCATTCCCTTTTGAGCTCCATCACTGCCAGATGGATATTATGGTCGATATATCTTTTGACAAGTCACATTTTTTTTAATGTTTATTTATTTTTGAGAGAGAGAAATAAACTGGACGTGATAGGGGGAGAGGCAGAGAGAGAGAGGGAGACACAGAATCTGAAGCTGGCTCCAGGCTCTGAGCTATCAGCACAGAGCATGACATGGGGCTCGAACTCACGGACTGTGAGATCATGACCGGAGCCGACGTCAGATGCTTAATCGACTGAGCCACCCAGCCGCCCATTGACAAGTCACATTTAATGTGGCTCCAACTCCTTCATACACCCACTTCTTTTAATCTTAAGTCAAGTATTCACTGAGTGCCTACCACGTGCCAGCCACTGGACTAGATGCTGTAGAAACATCCTCTGTTCTCATGGAGTTCACACACTAGTGTGGGGAATGGATGAGAAGAAAATAATAAGTGAACAACTCCTTTAATAAGAACTACAAAGAAGAGAGAGCATAAAATATGTCATAATGCCATATGCTTGTTCACTTATAATGGATTTTAATTATGCTGCCAGTAATCCAAACAGCATTATCTTCAACAAGCGAAAAATCCTTTGAGGCAATCACCGAAACTTAGGTAGAATGAAATACAGCTACCAATTCGCTCTAAGCACGACTATTGGTTTATTCCTGCAATACAAAATGTGTGTGTGTGTGTGTGTGTGTGTGTGTGTGTGTGTGTGTGTGTGTGTTGGGAAGAGGTGGGAAGGGATGAGAAGCTAAGGGATGGGCAGCAGAAAAAAAGGAGAAAAGAAAGAAGGGAAAGTAAAAAGAGCTAAAATTCTTACATCAATTAATGTCATTTTGCTCAATCTTTCAGACTTCCAATTTTCTACACTGGTACAACGGGCCTATCTGAGTAATTAGTGGCCATGTGAATACTAATACATAGACAAGACTTAAGTTTCCCATCATATATTTACCCCTTCCCTCTAGTTTAACTATTTAAAAATGTACTCTCTAGTGTTTGTTCTAGAACATATTTTTAAGATTTTATTTTTAGGGTTAAAAGATACAACTCTTCCTCCACAATTACATGTTTATATATCCTTTTGCTTACATTTTCTCCCAGTTACCTACCACGCATGAAAGTAAAAGATTTAAAAGAGAAGCAATGAAATGGCCCAATATAAATACTTCCCTGACTCAGGGACCATTTTTGAAGTTGAAATTCTTGGGTCATTCCTTCCTGACTTAGATTAAACGCCCACATCTTATTTCTACCACTTCCAAAGTGCCAGGGGGAAAAAAATAAAGTAATCTTCTCTTAGAAAATCCTTCTTTCAAAGATTAGGGTGCTCTCAAAAGAGCTGCATGTGCTATAATAAAGTCATCTTCCCCACCTCCGATCAATACTTCTCAATTATGAATGTGAACATACACTTGAAAATTCGCACCTGGACACAACCCTTACCTGCATCTCTTGACAAAAGGAAGCCAATGGCCCAAAGAGAATCTGACATTGCTCATCAGCAGTGTAGGTCATCCCTGGCAACTTGGAAGGAACCATCACGGAATTGACACTCTGGGGATTTGTCTGTAGCAAGCAGCTACTGGCCTTTGACCTGGCAATACGCAGATATGTGTAAAATTTTGAATTTAATGTAAAAACCTTGTTATAATTAGCACAGCAACAGGAAACATTTTTAGAAGGTTAAAAATATGTTCTTACTTTTATTTATAAGTTCTTCTACTGAATACTCATAGAAATCACTCCATATGTGAGAATCGTTTATGTACAACTATGTAAGATAATCCTAATAATAATAATAATAATAATAATAATAAATATTGAACATGATGATTTTTAGGTTTATTAAGGTCTTTCATATGGATTGACTCAGCTAATCTACATAACACTGTGAGGTGGTTATGACTTTGCATATTCATAAGATTAAGAAGCTCAGACTCAGAGAGTAACCTGACCAAAAGTAATGCGTGAAGGTAAGAAATGAATTATGTTCGAGGACTTAAAGAATATACGGAAGGCATTGTCAAGTGAGTATTTGTACATATTTTTATACTTGACATTGTAATACAACCTCCATTTATGAGATGACATTTAATTTTACCATGGTTCTGATTCTTGTGAAGGCAGCCATACAAAATCATACATGTTCCTTGGGAACATTGAAGGGTGACTATTGCAGAGAGGTGGTATGTTCCAATATCACATGTTCTATGTACCGGTCTCTACACTATCATGACTGAACATACTGCATACATTTCACACCAGAGTTATGCTAATGTAATAAACAGTATATGTTAGCGGATTTTAATATTCATTTAACAGAAAAAATAGGCTTGCCAATTTAAACAGTATGGAAAAATGAATAAAATTTATCTGTATCGTGAATTTAACTAGCTCAATGTTCCTATATTTCTTAGTGAGACTTTTGGATACTTTAAGCATCTCTCACTCACTAACTGCTTTGTGTATCTCATACTGTTTCTGCTTGTTCATTTATTTACCAAAGAGATAAGAACAAGGGATTTAAAATGAAAATTTGAACAATACTAATATTTTTCACTTCTTTTTCCAACCAGACATAAACTGTTCCCTCTGTTGAAGGTGGGAAAGAAGAGAATGAGAACTATTATAATGGTGAAAATGATGTATTAACGAAAAAAATCCACAGCTTAGAAGTATCATAATGGAAGAGTGGAGCTTTTGTTAAAGAGGTTCTTTGTGATAACAGATGTGCTGAGTGATGAACAATGAGAATATTTTCCACTGGGAAATTTCAAAGAGGTAAGGAAACACTGTGATAGATAATTTTCCAACCTTACAAATCATCTTGCTTGTTCTTTTATTAGAAAATGTGGACACTAAGAAGCAGATGGGTTAAATAATATGTTCCAATTCACACTCTCCGAGTCAGTGGAAGGGCCAGCATTAGAACTGAGTGCCTTGATCCCTAATCGAGTGTCCTTTCCACTCTACTGTGCCACCTTCCCTGGTTGGTAGAGGAAGCAGGCACATGTAAACATTGACAATGCAACAAGAGTAAATGACCTCAGTACCTTAGAAATCTTTCCAAATCTTCCTTGCTACATCGGGACCATGAAACATCACCAAGATTTTGTCCTTTAATCCATTCACCAGACATGATATGAAGACCATCAGCACATGATGGGTGGTCATTGTCATGATTAATGCCCATGCTGATTCAGAATATAATTAAAATAAAAAATTACATTAGGTAAGTATATCTTAACGATTTATAAAGGCAATTAAATAACAGATAAATACTGAAACTAATGGGAGATAAATTAGTTTTAAAAATCAAAATAAAATTAGATATCAGATTGATTTTTTTTGAAATTTTGTTATCTAGATTAAAGATAAATATTTTTACTGAGGGAAACACATTTCCCAATGAATCTAGCAAATAACATGTTTAGTCACATATTTTCAAAATGGTCTATAGATAAAATTTTCAGAGTTGTATGTATGAAACATATAGAAATAGAAAGTTTCTATTCAACCACATTAAATTCTTGTTCTTGCCTGGAGATCCTTTACTCATCGCTTTTAACAAATCTGAAACCACATTAAAACTATTATTTTCCCCATCTGCTTCATTAGACTTTCTTCTTCCATTCATCATTAAACACAAACTATCCCTGGGAAACCTTCACATTTCTGGCCATCTTTACTTCTTCTAGTGAATCTTGAATCTATTGCTTCAAGCTGAAACTCTTTAAAAAGCTGACTTACCTCCAAATGGGTGTACTAGAAGAATATTAAATTCAATATGTCTAGAAACTGCCCTCATTATTTTCTCTTTCAAGCCTTGATTTATTCCTGTACTGTCTCTTTTATGCATTCACTAGCCACCCAGTCTGCCAAATCAAGAATCTTCAGGTCTTTTATCCTTTCTCTCAGATCACCAACCAGGCTATTTGGTTTTATTAAGTGTCAGAGGGCAAGTTCTGCCAGTGCTACTTCCTAAATATTTGTCTCAACTGTCACTTCCTTTCAGTTCCTTTGTTACTATTACAAAGGATTATTAAGTATTTAGTCTCAATAATTATTATGTCATTATTGCGTTCTGCGCCTCTAATCTTTACCAACATTCTCCCTGTTTCTCCTCCTGCTGTGCCCCAGGGAAGTCTATTTAAAACACAATCTGCCTCCCTGTTACCTATATGGCACTTTGAGCTCTTCAACATCGTACAAAGTCTCTTTATTTTCTTCCAGGTCCTTTATGGCATTTTCTTTTCAGCGAATGATTTCTAGTTTCCCCCAACAGTATGCGGTTTCTTATTCTTTCACAATTAATTGTTATTTAGAATTTTTTTGTGTGCCATGCACCATACAAAGGGGTTATAAGCCTGAATTAAACGGTTCAATGATGTAGGTACTAGTATAATCCAAGTCTGCTGATGAGAATGAACTTTGCCAAGGTTATACAGTGAGAAGGTGGAAAGTGGGGCTGTCACGGGGCGCCTGGGTGGCGCAGTCGGTTAAGCGTCCGACTTCAGCCAGGTCACGATCTCGCAGTCCGTGAGTTCGAGCTCCGCGTCAGGCTCTGGGCTGATGGCTCGGAGCCTGGAGCCTGTTTCCGATTCTGTGTCTCCCTCTCTCTCTGCCCCTCCCCCGTTCATGCTCTGTCTCTCTCTGTCCCAAAAATAAATAAACGTTGAAAAAATATATACATAAAAAAAAAGAAAGTGGGGCTGTCTGAACTGAGCAGGCTGGCTCAGGAATCATGTGACTGACCATTACCTATTTGGCATCTGTGAATTCCATTCCCTCTCCTGCCCTGCCCAAAGTGCCTATCCTTCAATGTCTTCGCCTGGATAAATTCTACTTAATCTTCGAGATTACTGTCGATGACCTTCATGAGGTTTTCTTTCACTAACTTCATCTCACCTATGTGTACTCTCTGTCCTACCGCAGGATTCTGTGAACCACATTGTTATCGCACTGGCAACAATGCATTATGCATTTTTACTTCTGGCTAATGCTGCAACTTCTTGAGGGTAGGAACTGGCTCATCTCTCTGAACTGCTGGCATACTGGAATCATATTCTATAAACCATACATAAACACTGAATCAAGTCACCATGGAGAATCGCTTCTGTTTCAGGAAAACCTTCATATAATCTCTACCGAATTCTCATAGTGAAGGTTAATACTGAAAAAATTGGAAGAGGAGAAATGTGTTTTTCTCCAGGCTGAGTATGAAATGATGGCAGGATAGTCAAGTGTTCCCTTTAAAATCTAGATGATAAAATAGTCTTTCATAATAAAAATAGCGAATAACAAGAATATCTACACTATATTTAAAATGCTATAAAAAGAATTGTTATAGAGGCTGCTAAGGGAAATCACAACTAGACTACCTATGTTTTCTCAAATCAAAATAAAAAATATCAAGGCCAACTACTTTTTCACTGAGATAAATTAAAACTTTGAATTAAAATAGTTATATTTAACATGTTTTTGGAAGGAGAAAATGATATGGACGGAATAAGTAATTTATGAGTTAAGAATAATGAGTTAAGAATTCACTCCATTTGCTAACTTAGAAGACTAATAAAACCGAAAATACATTATTGAATATCATTTTCCATACTTCAGTGTCAGAAAAATTCAGCTCCATGTTGAACCATATTTTTCTTTCCTATTCTAATTAATGTCTTTAAATAGGTTCTGTATCAACACATATTAATAGGATGATGGACAGAGAATAGGAAGATAAATGTTTTTCATACTTTGACGATAAGGAGGAAAAGTAAGAGATGATGTGGAGTCATTATGGACCAGTTTAGTTGCTGGGAGGTAGGGTGAAAGATGTTGAAGTTGAAAGAGATTTGAGTTCTGTGTCTCCCTCCCCCTAATTCATGGGACTAGATACAAGTAAGTAATAACATTAAGAAATAAATGCTTTCTTTTTAAAAAAATTTTTTTTAACGTTTATTTATTTTTGAGACAGAGAGAGACAGAGCATGAACGGGGGAGGGTCAGAGAGAGGGAGACACAGAATCCAAAACAGGCTCCAGGCTCTGAACTGTCAGCGCAGAGCCCGACATGGGGCTCGAACTCATGGACTGTGAGATCATGACCTGATCCGAAGTCGGCCGCTTAACCGACTGAGCCATCCAGGCGCCCCGTTTTCTTAACTGATTGCTAGGAAAATCTTATGAGGATGATGTAAAATGCCTGACCCAAAGTCTAGAATATAGTAGCAACCCATAATTATTCTTTTTATTGGGGCAATATACCTGAGATATCTTTTTCTTCTAACTTGTCAAATAGCACAAAGAGATAAAAACATCATTATATGTAATTTGTTGTCTTTGTGAACTTTGGTGAAAGTTGTGGACTTTAAGGAAAACCAAGTAAAGAATAATGGCAAGAATTTACTTTGCTTGGATGTTAACTAATTAAAATAAGAAACTGCAAATAAAGCAGAATCTCACAAATTGCTTAAAACCCCTTAATGCGTTTCTAACAGTACAGTCCTGAGGCAGCCCTTTCCAGGATCACTGTCTCACCTCCACCAGGGAGGGATTCTGGCCACAGCACACGTTGCCGGGTGACCCTGTTTTATCAACAGCCACTTGCCGCATGGAACACACTCAACTCTTCCATCTGTGGTGGTACCGTCTTTCAAAGCATACACAAATGCTATTATTCCTGAAAGGCAACTGGTCTTTTTCAGAAACAATAAAACTTCTTAAATAATGTGTCCATTTGAGAGAAGAGGTTTTGCTTCCAAGAGTTAGCAATTTGGACATTTTCCCAAAGTGGTGTAATGTGATTTTCCAAATTGGGAAGATTACAACCTCTCATCCAGATGATCCTTTTGGGATCTTGATTCTCATGTAAGAAATTAGCTACAGCCATGGAGAGATCTAGTGATTCAACCATTGTTTACCATTAGTTAAATTTTCCTAAAGCTGTTTAACTTGTAACAGAAAAGATTATCATTAAAGAAAAAAATTGGGACAGGGCCTTTTTTTTTTTAACCACATATCTGGAACTATCAGGAAACACTGCTTAGTTCCAATTCTACAGATTTGAAAGAAAACAAATAATTGTGAACCTTTATCTGTACCAGTCACTGTAATAATCATTTCCAATGATGATATCACTTAATCCTCACAATATCTCCATTATGTGTCTATTATTATGACTATTCTGTAGATGCAGAAGGTGCTGAGGTTAATTGGGGAGATGGGACTCAGACCCAGGCAATCTGATGGTCAGAAAGATCTCCAAACAACCAACTATAGTGCATCTCTTTCTGGATCAAAACTCTACATTAATGCATATAATCTTTTTTGTTTTATGAATAATTTTAAATGTCTCCTGTTAGCAGAAATGCAACTCTACGTATACAGTTCTAAAACCAAGTCGTGTGCATTATATGGAGAACATTCTTGAAGTAAGACATTAGCAACACCTCTCCTCATACTTCTGCAACTGAGCTACATTTTAATAATCTCAGTTTAAATTCATTTTGACAAAGAGCCTAGGGCAAATAAACTCTCTACTAACATTGTACATGGTTGTCAAGTCAACTGAAAAAATATTTTTATCTTATAAAACTTCTCAACTTGTTTAAAAGTCACTGCCAGGAAGTTTTGTGATATCCTGCGGAAAGCTGGAGAAACATTTGGATTGTGAAGATGGTCCCTTTTGATGTTTAAAGAGTTAGAGAAGAGAACATTTATGAATTCACTCACATTTTTTGCATAATTTGGAAAGGGTCAGATTTGTAAACAGTAATTCTTTAGAAGACTAAATTTTTTGTGCTCAATATGTTAAATATTTCACCATGATGTATTATTTCCCACTAGAAGTTCTATATTATATAGAAAATTTTATTTGAAAAAAGAAACAAACTGTCCTAATGTCTAAGTGGAAGTATATTTCCACAAAATAACAATTTCCTACAATTCCGTGGCTACATCTTATTTGGAGTAACTTAGCGGCTGTGTGCTCACGGTGGGGGGGGGGGGGAGTACAAAGTATTTTTATTACTTTTTATATTTTGAATAATTTTAATTATTTAACTGTCAGTTGTCACAAAACAGCGAAATATGTACTTCTATTGGAAGTCCAAAGACCGTGTAAAGGCAGACAGCAACAATGTCAAAAATGTTCTAAAAAGTAGAGGTACAGGGGCGCCTGGGTGGCTCAGTCGGTT